ATGCATCTGACCTGGGAGACAGCATTTAAGGGCATGAGCAGAGGACCTTGTGGTGGAGAGTATCAGAGAAGGGCTAAGAGAAGAAAGAACATATAGCGATTCACAGGGGGGCCAAGTTGTGTCTTCCTGGCATCTCATTTCCCCTAACCTGTGGGGATGATGCCAAAAGCTCCAAGGTTGTCTTTCCAGCTGCCTGAATTGAAGATAAACCTACCGGGCCTGGGATGGTAACAGCACACGATGATATTCAGAGAACTCTTAAGTAGGATGAATATAAACAAAAGTATACATCATAGACAAACTACAGAAAACTGAAGTTACAAAAATTCATTGTAAAACCAAAAATATAAGTCCCATCAGTTAGAAAGGGAGGTCAGAAGGAACTATCTGTCCACCCAGAACTCCACTTCCAGTGAAGATACGTTTAAAGGAATGCACACAAAATACTAGTATTTCCAGATTTAAAAGTTGAAAGAATAGCTATAGTTTAGAAATACTAAATGAAATTCTCCAAACCTAAGGAAGTTGACAATAGATAAAATTCTGATCTACAAGAAAAAATGAAAAGTGCATGAAATGTGACCAAATATAAAGATTTGCTTTTCTTCCCTTAATATCTGTAAAAGACAAATCACTGCTTTGGCAAAAGCTAACATTGTATTGTGTAATTGTATTTATGTATACATGACAGCAATTGTAGTAGGATTGAATAGCTGAAAAATACTGGTACAGATTTTTTTGGGTTCAATTTTAAGTCTAAGGTAGAATTTTAACTCTAAGCAGACTGGGGTAACCTATGAACTACCAGTAAAAAGAAAATAATACAAAAAGGTATAGTTAAGGAACAATTGCATTACTAAAATAGAATTAGCACAGGAAATAGGAATTTTTGAAAGCTTAAAGTATTCAAATCAAACCACTATCAGATCAGAAAGACATGGGTGTGAACCATTCTTCTTGCCCTCAATACCTGTGATCTTGGGTATAGGACAGACTTTCAGTTATGTATTCCCTCAAGCAGATTGCTTTACAAGACTTGTTTGCTCTTGAATTTCTTGTCATCTTTCATGTGGCCATTGTGAAGATTTTCACTTAAGCTTAATCTCTTGATCATTCTCATGAACTTAAAACAAAGGTAATGAATAGTTTTATATTTTGCTTTAGTTTTGGCATTAGTTTATGTGTTCAATATAAAACTGTTTCTGTATTTGAGCAATGCCCTGTGTAATTGTTACACACAAATACAGTAATAATTTTTAAAATCCATACTCATACATACTGACAAATAACACGGATACAAGGGGAAATGAAAAAGTTAGGGTTGGTGTCTCACGAAGCCGCAGCAGAAACTTCGCAGACTCTCAGGCAAGCAAGCGACAAGAAGCAGGTTTGTTTAAAGAAAGAAGTTTACTGAAGAGAAGAGGAACAGAAATAAAGTGGGACTCCCAGGCCATGAAACCAGGCCAGGGAGGGGCAAGGAAGCCAAAGCGGAGTCATGTCTCAGGGAATTTATACCTTCTTTCCCTCATTATTCTAAAGCTCCACCAGTCTCTGTGATTGGTTAGTTCTCGGTTGTCTCAATCTGCTATTGAGCGGGGGATCTTTACATTCCTTATCTAACAGGTTTGTCTTTCCCCATTTGTTGCATCTTCCCCCTTGTTTGATAGATTTATCTTTATGGCCCAGTCTCCCAGATGAGCACCCCTGCATTTTAGGGAAGAGAAAGTTAAACATCAGCTATCGAAGAAAAACAGGCTGCCACCTACTGGTCTTAGTGGTGACCCCTTCTCATCTCCTCCTTGCATAAATATCCCTGCACTCTGTCAAAGGGGAGAACAGTGGTCTACCAGACATGAGTCTTCTGCCCTAATTAAACCACTCTCTGTTTCCCCAAATGCCACCTCCCTTTATCACCTCAAGGAAACCAAGGCCAGCTTTAACAATGTTATCCTTGGTCCTAGGATGTTTATTATTCCAAGTGGAATTAGTTACATTCTTCTAGTTGTCCTTATCTCTGAAGCCTTCCTAAACTCCTCAGAGGTCCCTTCCTGCAATGTCTCTAAACTGCCCAATAACCCTAACTTGCCCTATGTCTCAATCTTCTTCTCTTATACAAACTTCTCCATAGTATACTGCCAAGTACTCTTCAGAGCTCTGATTTACTTCTACTCAGTTGCTGATTTTTTTTTTAATTTGTATATGTAATTTTAATATTTAATCAAGATTTTAAAATACTTTAGTTTCTGTGTGTATAAATCATTTATTTTCTACAGGTAATTGTAGGGTAAATAGTTTTCAGGCTTTTCTTCCCTCCCACCATTAGGCTTGCCCTGCCTGATGGGGCACCTACAGTTGTTACATTGTTCTGTTGTTTACTTCTGAGACACAGGGCAAGCTAGGAATTAGGCAGTTTTAGGGACACTGCAGGAGGGGACCTCGGAGAATTGAGGAAGGCTTCAGAGATAAGGGCAGCAAGAGGAGTGTAACTAATTCCACCTGGAAAAACAAACATCCCAAAACCAAGGACAACATTTAACGTTGGCCTTAGTTTCCTTCAAGTGATAAAGGGAGGTAGAGATTGGGGAAATGGAGAGTGGTTTAATTTATGGACAACTTAGAAGGGCAGCTGTTTAACTTCAATGCAGGGATGCTTATCCAGAAGACTGGGCCATAAAGATAAAGATGCAACAAATGGGGAAAGAGAAAGCTGTTAGATAAGGAATGTGAAGATCCCCCACTCAGTAGCAAATTGAGACAGCTGAGAACTAACCAATCACTAAGAGACTGGTGGCGTTTTAGAATAATGAGGGAAAAAAGGTATATATTCCCTGAGACACAGCTCCACTTTGGCTTCTGTAAGGGCAGGACAGGACACAGTGCAGGTTCTCTGATCCCATGCAGACCGGGTAAAGGAGGAGTCAGAGTCCTCAGTAGTTTTGCAGGTTTTTTATTTGGGGTTCACCAGGCATATGGCAGGCAGGGGTGCTGGCTGGGGGGCTGGGAGGCTGGGAGGCAAGTCTTCACTCTATCTGGGCTCTCTAGCATTCGTTCTGTTACTTTTCGGCTTCTCTTTCGGTTTTGGCTTCTTCGGCTTCTGCTGCTGCTGCTGCTGGCGTCCCCCCATGACACCTCCCTTAAAAGCACAGTCTTAGCTCAGCTGAATCCCATCTACCTATGCCCACACCCTATTCCAGGTGCCCGCCATCAGGCATGCATTCAGGACAAGGATCCATCATCTATCCTGATGGCGGAAGGGCAGAAAAGCCTGATATTTTCTTTACCCTACAGCTTCCTTGCCCCTCCCAGGCCTGGTTCCCTGGCCTGGGAGTCCCACTTTATTTCTGTTCTTTTTCTCCTTAATAAACTTTTTCTTTCTCTAAACAAACCTGCCTCTTCCCGCTTGCGTGCCTGAGCGTCTGCGAAGTTCCTGCTGAGGCTTCATGAGACACCAACCTGTGGGGGGTCTAGTGGCTGGGGCTCACCGCTGCCCTGCAGCCTGGGATCCGTTCCTGGCTGGGAGACTAGGCCTGACAATTCTGGTATCACTTCTTTGGACCATGGGAGGAGTATTGAGAGAGTCACCAAGAGAAGCAGAGGCAGGAGAAAGTAGCAGGAGAGAGAAAGGTTGAGAAAGAAGGCCAGAGTGAAGACTTGGTGGGAGCTTGGAGGCCTATGGGCCTCCTAGGCCCCCGATACCCCTGCCTGCCGTGTCCTTGTTTGCAACACTACATGTAAAGCTCAATAAAAACCGGAGCAAGCCACCGAGGGCTCCAAGACTCTCCTTTACTCTGTCTGCCGAATTATAGATAACCTGCTCAGTGTCCTCCTGCCACTACAGTAATACAGAAAAATATAAACCTTTAAATTTCTAAGCTTTACATAATTTCATAGTTAAGGATTGTAGAGTAAAGGTGGCACAGAGCAGGTTTCTATGATTCGGCAGACCGGCGGGTAAAGGAGGTGTCTTAGAGCGCTCAGTGGCTTTCTCAGGGCTTTATATACAGTGTGGCAAACAGGTACACAGCAGGCAGGGTGCCAGCAAGTCTTCATTCTGGGCTGCTTTGTCTTCTTTTTTCCTCTTCTCTCCTGCCTCTCTCTTGCTTCTGATTCTCCAGGTGAGTATCTCAGTACTTCTCCCATGGCCCACAGAAGTAAACAAGACAACAATGTACCAACTGCAGGTGCCCTATCAGGCAGGGCAATCCTAATGGTGGGAGGGCAGAAAAGCCTGAAAACCATTTACCCTACAACGGTGTAGCCCAACTTTACCTCAATAAACGTAATTGGAAAAAAAAAAAAGGTGTATTGAGAGATCCTATAATTGAATTATACAAAACATTGAGAGTTGGTACTGATTTAAAGTTAAACCACCCTGATTCTCTTACAAGACCAGGGCTATTCACATTTTCCTAGTTGCCATCATTGGATTTTGCTCCTGCCCCTGAGCCCTTACACAGCTGAACCCTATTAGTTTGAAAAAAGCTTGCGTGCCTAGGGACAGTAATTAACAAATGGCATTCTCCCACAGACGCCAAAAACAGGAAACTCTGTGTCCCCGCCCCTCTTTTCGGGCCTCCTTTCATTTCGCCCTCCAGCCTCTAACTGGCCTGCGATTCCGCCAAAGAGAAAACAAAATGCCTGGGCCCCGGGCCAGAGCGCCTCTAGCCAGCACAGCACGGCCAAGGCCAATTCTCTAGGCTAACAGGACTCTTGCGAAAGAGTGGTTTCCTCTTTTGTTTCCCAAGTTTAGGAGTGCACCCGGGAAGCCCAGCTCTTCCTCCCAAGCTGGAAAACCTTCCTTTCTCTGATTAGGGCTTATGTCTTCTTACATTTCTTTTCACCTCCTATTAGAGCTGTAATAAAGTATTTTCTCCACTTCCTCGTCCTCCTAGTATTTACTGCGAAGCGAAGAGCAGGGAGTCCTACGCCTCCCCAACATCAGCCGAGAAGGGAGGAGCTCCCAGCACCGGCGGGGGGGGGGGGGGGGGGGGGTGTGTAGGGCCGCCGAGTTCCCGGAGGCCTCTGGCCTTGGGGCGGGTTGCCGCCACTCCCGACCGCACCCAAGTCCGCCACCCCTCCCTCCCCTCTCCTAATACTTTGTTTTCTATTTGGAAAAACCCTCCTTTTTCTTCCCCTTTTCTCCTCCCCTTTCTCTTTCCTCTGCGGATAACGTTTGCATCGCAGGCATCGCGAGTTGTGCAGCGCTGACAGCCGGTCGTGAGGTGAATGGGGTCGGGTGCGTGGAGAGCGGGGTCGGGGGCCAAAAACGCTTCAGCTTCAGAGCCAGAGCGTCGGGGGTGGAGATCCAAGCCGGGGGACCAGCAGAGCGTGTTAGTTGCTGGTGGTGTCCCCAGCACCAGGCCCGGAATCCTCAGGTGGTTATCCAACTTGGGGCCCCCAACGGGAGCATGTACGCTTTGGGACTGTTGGTTACCTGTTTCCTGCCCGGGATTGGGACTGCCCCCCCTCCCTCCCTTCTATACGCCCCACCCCCCTTCCCAAATCTTAATATTGGCCTCCAAGGCCTGGCCAATGGAGACTTTGTCTTGGAGAGACTGTTCTGTAAGCAGAAATCTGCTCTAGGAGAGCAGACAGTGCTGTGCTTTCTGTCAGCCGCTCTGGCCCTAGTTTTTTTTTCTGGAAGAAGTGGCTTTGTGTGGGCTGCCCTTGCAACCAGGGAGTTAGTTCATGTGTTGGCTGACTGGGCTTCTCTTGCCTAGTCTCTGGGGCATTATCCCCTTGCAGCTCTGCTGGACTAGTACCTACTCACAGGTAGGATTTATAATGTCTACAAACTGGGGATAGGGATTGGCTTGGGAGGAAGTCCTGGGGGTCTCAAGAGAGAAGTGCTGACCTCAAATGAAAAGCAATCAGCAATCAGTTTATTTCACCAACAAAAATGTGTTCATTTGGAAGCAATGGCAGAAGGGCTGTTTGGAAAGTAGAGTTTTATGGTGAGTCATAAAACTGCAATCAAAGCGAGCTGCCCCTTTATATCTCTAGAGAAACCCTCCTCCTCCCTCTGAGGTAGGATAGCAACTTCCCTTTTGTGTTGGAGATGCAAGTCCTGTTGCATCAGGTCCTTTGGTTACCTGATTGAGCAAGCATATGAGGGAATTCTCAGCTTCTGGACCTCATTTAAATAGTTGCTATATATGAATTTTCACATTTTGATCAAGATCCTTCTCTGAAAGCACTGCCCAACAAGAGTTGGGTTTATACTGAATTCAGTGACCTGTTTTTTCTCAGTGCTAGTGTAACAGGGTGGTCCCGAGGAAAGGGGGAGGTTCCCTGCCCCACCCAAGGGAGGGTGGAGCTGAGCAGGGAGAGGAGAAGCTGCAGAAGAGACTGAGGAAGGAAGCAGGATGGAGCCAGGAGACCTGGAGGAGGCGCATGGAGCCTAGAGACACGTGAAGAAACTGCGCTTGTCTTTTGGTCGTGGACTAGGTGACACAGATGTGGGTGAGACCCGTGGGGAGGTGACAATGGCAGCTTTTATCTTAATCTGTTATAGGACAGGGAGAGGGGCAGCCCAAGTCCCGCAAACCTGCCTATTCTAAATGGGTTCTGCCATCCGCCGCATCAACACAAAACATAGGAGACTTTAATGGGAAGGAACTTTAATAAAACTAGGAAACGATACAGGTAAGGCAAAGAGTCTAGTTTCTAAATGAAGCATCCAGAGTTACCCGTCCCCTTGAGACAGGGCAAGCTAGGGTTATTAGGCAGTTTTAGGGATAGTGCAGGAGGGGACCTCTGAAAAATTTAGGGAGGCTTCAGAGATAAGGACAAGCAAGGGAAGGTAACCCATTCCATTAGGAAAAACAAACATGCCAGGACCAAGGACAACATTGTTAATGCTGGTCCTGGTCTCCTTCAGGTGGTAAAGGGAGGCGGAGATTGGAGAAATGGAGAGTGGTTTAATTTATGGTCACATTAGAAGGGCAGCTGTTTAACTTCAATGCAAGGATGTCCATCCAGAGGACTGGGCCATAAATTTAAAGATGCAACAAATGGGGAAAGAAAAAACAAATAAGGAACGTGAAGATCCCCCTACTCAGTAACAAATTAAGTGAGACAGCCAAAAACTAACCAATCACAAAGAGACTGGGGCAGCTTTAGAATAATAAGGGAAAAAAGGTATATATTCCCTAAGACACGACTCCACTTTGGCTTCCTTGCCCCTCCCAGGCCTGGTTCCCTGGCCTGGGAGTCCCACTTTATTTCTGTTCTTTTTCTCCTCAATAAACTTTTTCTTTTTCTAAACAAACTGCCTCTTCTCGCTTGCTTGCCTGAGCGTCTGCGAAGTTCCTGCTGCGGCTTCGTGAGACACCAACCCGTGGGGGGTCTAGCGGCTGGGGCTCAGCACTGCCCTGCAGCCTGGAATCCGTTCCTGGCTGGGAGACTAGGCCTGACAATTCCGGTATCACCCTCGTGGGTAAAAGTCCATCCAAATGGGATTGGCCCAGAACAAGGCCCCAAAGCCTGCTACAAGTCTAAAGCATCTTCCAGTGGGGACCCACAGAAAAGGGTCACAAACAACTGGACAAGCCCGGAAGGAAAAGAGCAAAATCAACATCAAGATAAAAGCTGCCATTGTCACCTCCCCACGGGTCTCACCCACATCTGTGTCACCCAGTCCACGACCAAAAGACAAGCGCAGTTTCTTCACGTGTCTCTAGGCTCCACGCGCCTCTTCCAGGTCTCCTGGCTCCATCCTGCTTCCTTCCTCAGTCTCTTCTGCAGCTTCTCCTCTCCCTGCTCAGCTCCACCCTCCCTTGGGTGGGGCAGGGAACCTCCCCCTTTCCTCGGGACCACCCTGTTACACTAGGACTAACCTTCCTTGTATGTCATGGCCCATGTTGGAGGGAGAGAGTGCAGATTGTAAACCTCCAGGTTACTAGGTAGTCTGCAGTTCTATTGAGGATGTGGTGCTTTATTTAAATATATCATGTGAATCCAAGAGTCTGAAGTTTGGCTGCATATCGATTTGATAGCAATGCTTGATGGGGGGGTGGGGTGGGGGGGGAGACAGGGGCAAATGGGGGAGGATTCCAGAAAGACTGAAGAGTCTTTCTGGAGGTGTGTTTTCCAGTAGTTAAAATCTCCAGGTTTCAAGCTATGTCAATAAAAGTCTTCATCTTGCTGTTGCGTTCTATGTAAAGATTGCTCAGCCAGACATGGTTATTTTTGATAGAAGTGTTATAGAAGACGTGAAACAAAGATTTTCACTGCGAGTCCTGCAGACCTAATGTGCTTTATGGTGACCAGCGCAAGAAAAATTACTTTGGGCTGGTCAACCACGGGTGAAGCTTGGAAATCACGTTGGGCGCCAAGTTGTTATAGAGCAGCCCTGATATTGAACAGGTTGCCTGGCTGTGGGTCCTCATCCGTGCTCTTACAAGGGACTTATTAATACTCCACTACAGGCACACACAAAAGGTTAATAAAAGGTTTATTTACAAGGGAAAAGGAAATAAGGAAAATGTACAACTCAGGGAGAAAATAGGAAAATAAAGTCTTTAATACGTCCTAACCGATCTGCTGACCTGGAAACCCAAAGTCACTCTCAGAGCTGGGACGCTGTGAGCTGGCGTAGAGCCAAAATGGGGGACCCCCCCCCCAAAGCCCACGTGTCTGCCTTTATACCAACTTGGCTGCTTAACCCCACCCTCAGGTCCCAGCTACCTTCCCTTTGGTGGTAATGGGATTTGGAGTTCCCAGAGTCTTTGGCTTTGGCCTAGAGTGGGGGTGGAGTCCACAAAGCCTATATGGAATTTAGCTTTAGGACATCCTTTTCCCCCTAACAGAAGCAAGTAGGCCTTTACAATAGTGAAGTGTATTTCCTTTAATCAGTGTGCCTGAAAAGAGGAATGGGTTTAGGTGCAATTGGGAATATGGTAGCTATCTCAAAGATCTGCAGTGTAAAAGAATCAAAGGCTGTGCTTTTGGCCAAGGTAAGTTAGAATTTCTACACATTTGGCCACCAGAAATACACTACTACTGTGTTGGTGTTGCATTTGACCAAACCAAAAGGTTCAAGGGTGATAAGCACAGTGGAAATGTTGCAAAATATTTGCACAAACTTTGCATAAATATAAATGTTGCAAACATTTGTCCAAATAAGTTTGCACAAACTTATCAGCACTTGGCTAATAAAATGGATTCGTTAATTACTGTGGAGTTCAGTAGGTTTCCCCAGGTAGAGATCATTTTTTCCAAAAAGACTTTGGCCACAGAGGAGGCGATAACCTGTTAATAAGGAACAGTTTCTCAGTCTATAGCGAAACCATACAGACCATGACCAAAACATGTTTACCCATGAGATGGGTTTGTCAAACCTTTCATGTCTCATTAGGGATTTTAAAATGTCCAGGAGCAATGCAAACAGCTTTCTTTGGTTGTATTTTGAACAGGTAGCACAAGAAGGAAGGCATTTTTTATGCTTTAATATCTCTCTACCAATATTGCTTCACAAATGGTATCATTTTACTGGTGGGCCAGTGGTTTAATTGCATGTAGAGTGGTCAGGAATGGAAATTTTAAAGTCCCTAGTAGGACTGGGTTGTTATTTTGTCTAAAGCAGAGTTTTTTTTCTTTTTATTATACCAACAATTGTTGACTTTCCAATCTTATTTCTCCTTCTGTGGGGCCAATTCTTAGGTTCTTTAGTCAGTTTTCCTAAATTATTTGGAAAAATGTTTCTTTGGAATATGATAGAGGCTTGATTACTGTTAGTTCCTTTAAGAGCAGTATTACTTGAGGAAATACCAGCTAAAAAAGTGATTGCCTTTAGCTTTCAGAGTCCTTTATAGAATGCCCCAGAATTTTAATAATAACTTAGGCAGGAGGTAAATGTGTAGATCCAACAATTCCTGAACATAAAGGCTATTTTTAATTTTACATCCACGTGAGTAAGGAAGCCATTCCAAAATTGTGAACTACTCCTAAAGCATATCTGCTAACAGTATAAATATTGGCAATTTTGTCCCAGGCTAAGCTGCTATCTCTTGTGCTGGCATACAATTCAGCTTCCTGGGCTGTAATGGCCAAAGGCAAAAATGCCACTTCACTTACATCAAAGGGTGTTGATAATACATGTCCAGGACAAACTTTTACAATGAAATATTTCAAAATACTCTGTGTAACCTGAGAAATCTGCATCCGTAAAGGGATTTCTTGATAGTCATCCTGAGGAAACAATAAAATACACTATTCGATT